TTTTTTCCCAACAATATTAGCTATGGGCCTTTCCCATTTCGAAATTCAGTTTGTCCATAACAATTATCAAAAGTGGAAATTACACAAAATCATACTTTAAGTATTCAACCTTCTAAAATCAGATTGGACATTTGATATTTTCAAAATCAGATTTTTTGTTAATTAATATATTATTATTAAATTAAACCAAACCATATCTCCCTCCACCCACCTTTCATTTTCCCCCAAATTCGTTTCTCTCTTTAACTCTCCTCTAGCCGCCATAGTCTTATCTCTCTCTAACTCTCTTCTCACCGCAGTTCTGTGCCACTCTCTCGTCTCTCTCTTCGCCGTACTTCACGTCGTCGTCGTTCTCCCCTCTCTCTCTTCACCGCACGCGACATCGCCAAGAAATCTGGCCTCGACGACTGGTCTGTTGAAATTGAGCGTCATTGATCTGCATTGTGGTGGTTGGTGATGGAGGCCAGTCTCCAGCGGCTGCGCTAGCCAAAGCTCCGCGCACGACTAAGGTTTCTACTCCACCTGCTGCTTCACCAACAAAGCATAAATCTCCAGCTCCATGGTGGCTCCTACTTTAACTCCTCCGGCTTCAGTTCTTGTGAGTTCACCGCCGACAGTTTCCACACTGGCTCCTGTAAGTTCTCCACCGACAGTTTCCACTCCAGCTCCTATAAGTTCTCCACCGACAGTTTCCACGCCTGCTCCAATGAGCTTGCCTCCAGCTCTCGAGCCAGTTAACTCACCACCGCTGGCTGCTCCAATCGAGTCTCCACCATTTCCTGCTCCCGAAGCGGTCACACCACCAGTTGAATCTTCTCCACCAGCTCTGAATTTTGCGCCCTCGAGTGAGAATCCGACAAAGGCTCGACTTACAGCAAGAAGCATACTTTTCTTGCTCCGAATCCGAAGCTGATGCGCCCATCCGCGCCTCAAATCGAAGCACTCCGTATTGTTGTGGAAGTGTACAGTGAGGTGGTGGTGGAGGNCCGAATCCGAAGCTGATGAGCCCATCCGCACCTCAAATCGAAGCACTCCGTATTGTTGTGGATGTGTACAGTGAGGTGGTGGTGGAGGTGCGCGGTGGTGGAGCATATCTGTAGTCGCAACGGCGTTGGGTTTATTTCTAATCTATCTCTATTTCTTCTTCATCTTGTTTACTGTTGTGTTGGTGATTGTTGGTGCGATGTAGGTGGTGGTGCTGCTGCTGCTGTGGGTGCGATTGTGGTGTTGTGGATGTGATGGTGGTGTCCCGATCTGTGGTCGAGGTTCTGACTGTAATAAAAAAAAATTTTACGATGGGCTGATTTGTTTGAAGTGGTG